TGTAATTGTTAAAAGGAGTTCGGTCTAGACCTGCTCTATTTGAAAAGTGTCCTGAGATAACTTCTATGAATTGGCGCTATACAAATAAAATTGAATTGAATTGAAAATTGAATATATATATATTCAATGTATGCACTAACAGCTCATTTCTTATATTACATTTCTACAAATTTATTTTACTAAAGATACATTGAGCAAATCAGGCCTTCTGTCAGACAGAATGTGTTGTAAGAACTGTTGACATATTATACTAAAGAGTGGGTCCATCTCTGAGATTTCTTACTCTACCACAATGGAGGTGAATGAAATTTGTGGTGCACACATCGTTGGAAAGTTACATTAGACAAACACTGTCACTGTTATACTCTGTCTAATCCACAGAACATGTCAACAGTTTCTATTTCCTTTATAAGAAGATCCTATGTAGACTAGGGCTATGTATTGTAAGATGTATTGTGATACTCTAAGAGAGGCGATATATTGTGTTATAAAACTAAAAACTAATTTTGGAACACTGTCATAGTACGAAGAACACGCCACCATATATATATTAAATTGGGCTAAAAAACATAACATCACAAGAAACGATAGTGTTTTGAGAATTGATACAATATCACAAAACAAAATATCCAGGTACTATATTTTTTATATTTTCTCACACCCCTAATCTGTAGATTATGCAGAGTAATGTCATGTTGCTGTTAGTTCCTTCTATGTAATTGTTCACGGAGCACCACAGTCATAAAATGCCATAAAATGCATGGCTTTGTAATTTGGCTGAATCAAACGTAAAATAGGATAAAATTGCATGTTTTAGTTAAGTGTTTAAGTGTAGTTTATTCTTGAAGAACACCAATCCTTCTTGCTGCTTTCTTTCTAATTATGAGCTGTACCTGTAAAATCTGAATAAATCCACTGAATAATGCATTCGATGTCCTGTGGCTAAATAGTTGGCCCACAGCATGCAAAATGTCATTGTTATGAAACTCTGTTTCACACTTAGCTATATCCTGTAAACATGCACGTTACTCTGATTTCTCTAATTTGTCAACCCCACATTGAATCAGAACTGTGGATTATGCAGTCAAAGAATATAATTATCCATTTTTATCTCCCGTAACTAAGCGGCATCTAAAAAACATTTTGTTTACAGTTGTGGTCCTTAGAGTAAACCTGCTCTAAGGTAACAAAATATGTTTGTAAATAACTAGCACAAATCTTCTAAAAATAATAAGTCCCACTGCTGAGGATGTGAGTGT